AAATGAGGAGCATTTTAAAAATGATAACATTAAATAAAGTGAAATTTATTTATATATGATATTAACAAATATAAAAAAAAAAATCTTATATTTTGAAGCTTAGAGAGTATTATATATAATCAAATTTAGAATTATTCTTTTGCTTTATCTTTTTGTTGGTTGGTTTTGGTAGTCCATAATCAACTTTAAGTTTATTATTTCTTTTGGTGATTGAAATATTAGTATTTCTATCATGTTTGTCAAACTCGCGAGTAAACTTATAGAATCGTACGAGTTTACAAGTCTAGGGTAGGAAAACTAGTTAACTTGCTTCTGGAATCGTTTTCTGGTAGATTCCTGCAGACTCGGCTGGACTCGAGTAGAATCACTCAGAATCGCGAGTCTATGGACGAGTCCGCGAGTCAGCTTCAGGTTAATTTTTTGCCCCTAAATGTCCAAAATGACGTCGTTTCAAAGAGGGTTTCTAGCCTCCTCTCTATTTTCTTCGATCTCTCATTTTCTACATATAAAAAACCACACTCTCCCTCCCTCTGTTTTCTTCGATATGCCTCTATTCGAGCTCCCACGACACCTCCTAGCTTCGTTTTGTCCGTCTGACGCCGTCCTTGTAGCTTTCGACGTCGTCCCTGTAGTTTCTGACGAGTTGTTCATTCACACGTTTCCCTGCTCGTCCAGCACCGTTCATTCACCTTTGCTAGGTTGAGAGAACACTCGCTAAAAAAGTGCTTCATTTCCTTTGTTTTTACTCCTTCTTCAGCCATGCTATTGCTATTGTGTTTATGCTATTTTATTCAAACTTTTTGCATCCCTTCTTTTCTGGTTTATAGGTGCTGCTGACTGTGCTATTTTAATATCTTTGATATTTTATGTTAAGGGTACTTTTTTTAACTTGAAAACTTCTCTTAAATTAATGTAGATGGAATCACTGTCGGTTAATTAGGACTTGGACATTTCATCTTTAGAGACAAAGACGGCATGAACTTTTTTTATTTATTTATTTATTTATTACTATTTATGCCTACTTTTTTTTTTTTTTTTATAAAAAAACATTTTCGGTTGTGTTTGGTAGAGAATGATGGAATTATTAGCGCAATTTTTTTTTATTTTTTTTATGGATAGGATAGAAATATAGTGTTAACCAAGTAGATATAATAATTGAGTTATATGGTAGCCAATTTAATGGCATTAATTATAGTGATTTTTTTATTGAAAAAAATATGTTAGATGTGTTTAATTAGGTGAAAATTAATTAAATCATGCTACTTTGAAATCAAATTGTGTTTCATAAGGGTTTGAGAGATTGGTTTACTTTTGGACATGTTTCACTTATTTCATTATTATTTTTAGACACATTTTATATATGGTGCTAGAATTTTGTTTAGAGATGTTTTTATTGATCATTATTCAATGAGAGAATTTTATTTATTTTTTTAATGAGTGTTTTTAGATATGTTTTTTTAACATTTTATCTCATTCAATATGTTATTTTTATTTTTATATCAAATTATCATAATTTTTAAAAGAAGTTATTAATAGTTAATATAATTTTGTATTATACAATATTTAATATTATCTACATCATTGTATAAGTTATTTATCATAAATA